CAGAAAGACCCCCTGGTTCCACAGTTTCACCCTGAGTATTTACATGCCAACATCCGTGGTTCAAAGCTTCATATCATGCCAGAGGGGAGACACAATCTTCACCTTCGTTATGCAGACGAATTCAACTTGCTTGTCAGGGCATTTTTGAAAGACGAACCAAACAACAAATCTTCTCTTTAGCCCCCTTCTTAAAGGGGCTTTGTCACAGTTTCCACAAGTTGAAAAGTTTATCGTAAATTTTTCAAGTTCCTCATTTGTAAACCATGTTGATCTTCTCCATCCTTAACCATCCCTGTTCCGTTATGGTTTATTATTATCTCTTTGGTGTTTTTTTATCATAGTAAACTTCTATTGTCAGGTTTCCTTTAATTTAAAGGTAACTTTGTATGCGTTCTTCTAAATCATACTCTATGAAATGAGCCAGCAATTTTTTTTGACCTTTAAAGAGGTGAAACAGTTTTGACTAGAGAATAACGGGGCTCACAAAAAGTTCCGTGCGGTCATCCGGAACATCATATATATATTTCTCTACTGGGTAAGTAACTTTTCATACTTACTTGCCCCATGGGGACGTTGTCTGCCAACGTAATGGCAAAAAGAGAAACATGTCTGAAGGGCAAGCTGGGATTCAAGTTTTTTTCGAGCCCTGGAATAAATCTAAAACAAGAGGAACTGAATCTGGAAATCAAACAATAGTCCGGTCAGACGTCCATTATTTGCTGGCCCTCTATAGGAACCCCAAGGCCAGCTGCAAGTACGCTAAATCTAGTTTGAAATATGTCGACGTAACTTTAACAAAAATAACAGTTATTTCCCAAAGGAGAAACATTTTCTTGTTTTTTACCCCCAGTTGCTAACCCAGCATTGAATTTCGCTCGGTGGCCGTTATACTCCGGATCGCGCTGTCCGGGCTCGAGCCCTGGCCGGGAGACATTTCGCTGTGTTCTTGGGAAAGACACTTTGCTCTCACAGTGTCTCTCTCCACCCAGGTGTATAAATGGATACCAGCGAATTTAATGTTGGGGGGTAACCTTGCAATGGGCTAGCATCCCATCTAGGGGGGTGTAAAAATACTCCCAGTCGCTTCA